TTGGGGTGATAGTTATCTAGCCCAAAAAACTTCTTAGGACTCCTTTGAACCCAGGATCAGAGGATCAAAAACATCCAGTTCCCCAAAACCCATTCCCCATGCATCTATGAACAAGGTACCTTGCCCTTGTAGCTCCTGTTAACCCTACCAGCAGTACTGGAGATACAGCTATAAGTTACCAGTGTCCCAAGATGAATCTTGCTTTTCTCAGTTCGCTTAACGCTCCACAAACCAAAACTGGGAAGAGGTCTAACCTTCAGGTTTATGAAGCATCTTCATTTTAATAAGGACTTGCAACATCCACAGACCTGGACCACCCTGCTCTGCACCTGAAAAGCACTTTAACTTGTAGAAATGGTACAGCCTAAAACACAAAAAGCCCCTGTTGACCTACTTACTTTATTCCATACATTTCCACAACAGATTTACTATGATCTACATTCCAGATTGCTTTTTCTGCTGCACTAATCCTGCCATGTTGATTTTACTGGGTCACTATTTCACATCTGCCCCAACAGCGATTTTAAGGTACAGAAAGAAGTACAGCTTAGTTTCAGTTCACAATCCTGTAAGGTGGCCGAGTTGCAAGCCTGCACATCTGTGTCTGTTTAAGAAATTAAAATGATGCCTTTTCACCCTCTAATAGCATTTCGTAGACCTTTTTCACTGGATTTCCAGATTCTGTTTTACCTTTTGATCATGCGGTGTTTAAAGGGTGCACACATTAACAAATAAGTAAATTGATCTATTAATATAACTTAGTAAGCACTTAATAGGTGCTAGTTACAAGCACAGAATGCCACAGTTGAGCTATTGCAAGGATAAGGAAGATTTCCAACAGCTAGCACTGCAAAAGGATAGCTATTCCCACTGCCTCTTAAGGTTGTGATTCATTTCAGAAAAATCTATAAGTGAGCTAATTATCATCACTTACTAATGGACATATTAATATTTAAGTGGTACCCCATAAAATAAAAGGTGGCCCATCTTCTTTGCATCAAGATGGTGTACAAATGCCTTTTCACTTATAAGATATTTATGCACATCTCAGGTTATAACGCAGACCCCATCTTCATTATCTTTATGGGATAGCAGACCCTGATTAATCACAGTCCCAGATGTGCCTACTTTATCCATTAGGTGCTCCCAGATTCTTTGTATGACCGTACTGAGACACCTTGTGGGAGCTGGTTTCTGCAGACAGGTTGTTTTTGCTTCGTCCTCCAATGCCAGAGTATGCACTAGTTCATCTCGTTTTGAAATGGTTTCTTCATAGTTGTTATTAAAATGTTTTCCACAGTTACAGTTCTTTTCCCCATTTCAGAATGGGTATAAAAATAAAAGCCTAACTCCGACAAGACTTCCTAAATAATTTCATCTACAAGTCCAGCCTGACAGACGCTGAGACAGGCCATGATGCTCGGCTCTTTCTCCCGACTCCAGGAGGTGCTGAAGCAGCTGCAGTGCAAACTGGAGCAGGAGGCTCGAACGCTGGCCTCCACCGGGAGAACAGACGTGCTCGACCAGCTCAAAGGTATGCTGACCACATCCCATCTCTGTCTGTCCAGTGGGCCTCAGGTATTTTTGAGAGCTCTATCACAGGAAACTGATGGTTTTGTCTTTAAAGTTAGCATTGATTGGGTAGTTTGCATGGAAAGCCAGATATAGTCTCTGAGCATGACTTAAATGCTGCAGATCTGATTAAGGAATTAGAAAACAACTGCTCTTTTAAAAGGCCCTGGTTCTTGACCCTCCTAGAGTTGCACATGGACTTGACGAACTATTACGAGCTGAAGTACCAGCCCCACAATCTGCGGGGGTCCCAGGCAGCCCAGGCCGCTGAAGAGGAGGACCGAACCCCAGCTCCGTCCTCCGATCTGGGGAGGGCCGGAGACAGGAGCCCCCTGCACGCCGCCTCCAGGCAGGCGCCCCCAGTGCAGGGGGAAGGGGCAGCACTGCACCCCGGACCCCCACACATCCTGGAGGGAGCTCTGCAGAAGACGGGCACCAGCGGGGAGGGCAGGGTCACAGCCCAGCACCTAGAGGACCTCTGCAAAGAGAGGTGGGCCCGCGTGGTGTTTCTCTGTGCCCTGCTCAACACGCTGCATGAAGTCAGTAAAAAACACCAACAGCCTGATTAGAGTTTTATCTTGGAATTTGCCTTTCCCACATGTTTATCCATAATTTTAGGAACTGGAATATACTGTAAAAGTACTGTATGTCCCCATATCTTGAAGACCACAGTGTGCAAATTTGTTTGCCACTTATTCTGTATCTCACTGTCTGCCTGCAGGTGCTAAAGAGTCAGATTTACAGAAGTCACCTGTTTACACAAAATATTAAATTCGAAGTATGATGAAATCACATCATTTTGGATGCATAAACCCGGGTTTATTTTATAGTACTTTATTTTTTTAATTTATCCACATCACCTTACACGTGTCTGATCCCAGTGTTTAATCATCAATATTTAACAATCGTTCAAACCCCAGTGCCTGTTGGGGAGTTCTGAGCTGGCATGGCTCTCGGCACGATCATTACGTAAGAATGTCTAGTTTTATGCGGACTTTCACTCGAACTGTTTGTGATCGGTTTTAAAAAACGGCCAATGAGGGAAGCAGCAAAGTAAGCGTGAAAGTCCCCCCTCCACACCGTCACGCACAGAAACAGGCAGGCGGGTCCGCCGACTGCAGCTCCCCCGGACAGCGGGGTGAGCGCTCTGGGCGTTGTGGCTCTGTTCCAGGACGCTGCTGCTGAGCGAGATTGAGAAGGAGGAGCGAGAGCGGCGCTGGTACTACTCCCAGCTGCAGGGCCTGTCGCAGCGGCTGGCCGAGCTGCCGCGCGTCGAGACGGTGAGCGCCTCTATACAAGTGAAATTAGGCCATTGCCTGTGGTTCGTTAGTCCATTCTTAATATAGTGTAAACCGATCATATTAATTATAATTATACTGGTATATTAGTGGGAAGAACAGTGGCACAGTGGTTAGCATGATAATAATTACAATTGTCTAAACTAAAGTGAATCAGGTGTAGTTTTATTCTAGGAGCCTGTGAGCCGCATGGTCGTGTAATACTGCTCGACATGTTTCAGTAATGCACAGCGCCTGGGCTCTAGGGCCAGTTCTAGACCTGGGGTGCTGTCTGCGTGGAGTTTGCATGTTCCTCCCTCTGCCCAAAGACATGCTGGTAGGTTAACTGGCTCCTGAGGAAACTGGCCCTGGTGTGAGTGTGTGTGTGTGTGTTTGTGAGCCCTACAACAGACTGGCGTCTATTGTGGATGTACCCTGCCTTAATGGGATTGGATCTGCCTCCTCCTGTTAGAAAACTGATAGGTGGATAATGCAAGTATTAGTTCTGACTACTACACCTGCGAGAAAACAAATGAACCAGAGCTCTTGCAGTGATTTCCCTACATGTCCCTCATTCTCCATCAGCAGGAGCTTCACTACCAGTTCCCAAACCTGCAGGCTGTGATTTCAGACCCCACTCAGTTCTGCCTCTTGCAGTTCAAGCTGTTTAGAAATCCGCACCGAAACAATAATCCACAGCTGTCCTGCACCTAAGCTCCGCCTGAGCCGCGGCAAGCTGGGTAGAGCCCCAGTCCCGGCGGATGCCTCTCGTGCCCGGCGTGACTGACTCCTGACTCCTGATCCCTGACCCCTGACCCCCTGCTCTCCCACTGCGCAGTTCTCCATGCAGATGGACCTGATCCGCCAGCAGCTGGAGTTCGAGGCCCAGCAGCTGCGCTCCGTCATGGAGGAGAGATTCGGCACAAGCGACGAAATGGTCCAGCGGACGCAGGTGGGGACCCTCACCCTCTGACTCTGTTTGACAGCTGCGTTGATGAACCGGGGGGACCCACGGCCACAACATTAAGAAAAGGGGTGCTTCCCCTTCTTGGAAGCCTCTTTTATCGGACAAGCACCCCTTCTTTTAATTGGATTAAAATTAAAATAAAAGTCCAGTATTCTTACTGTTTTGCCTGTTTTTGACTCAGTGACAATAAGACTATCGCTAAACCTGCCAGGACCCTAAATTAACATCAGCTGTCTGCAGTTCACCTCTGTAGTGGCTGCGGTCCTTCAGGTTTCTAGACTTGTATCTGTTAGTCAGCACCTGATGTTACCAGCTACTCAGTACAGTGTCATCAAAGGCCTTATAGAATTAAGGCAAATGGTCCAGTGGTTTGACTCTGGCTGTAATGAGTTCAGCTGTTTAGATGACTTTGTGATTTTCTTGGACAGATAGACATTAGAATGTGTTTTCTGTGACTGGTTTGTCTTTTTAAATTCTCCACTTAAATATGCATTTCTCTGTATCTTAATGTTTCTGGTAACACAAGAAATTGGCCAGGGCTACACTGTACTTGGAGTACAACAGGCCTTATTATTACGTTTAGAGCACAGCTGGAGAAGTTACTTTTTTGTGCCTTCCTGAAGGGCCTTTTGGTAAGGATGAACCTGTTTCAAATCTTCACTGAGTTGCGCGGTGACTGCTGGGGTCCCTACAGCACACCTGTTAGTGTATCGTTGTGAAGTACCCGGCCTGGCCGAGTTTATCAAAGGCAATCCTCCTGGCCTTGTCCTGCAGGAATTTCAGGGCTGCTTGGAAATGCTTTTGAATCTAAAAAATATAGAAATGAAAGATCCTGTGTATTCCAGGAGTAAACTGAGCAGTGTGTTTACCATGCAAAAGAAAGAGGCTCCAGCT